CTGGCTTCAGCTGTATCTTCATGAAGGTATTTGGGAAACATGCCAGGAATTCATTATCTGGTCCCAAACTCTCATCATCAGGTAATCCTAAGGCTGGCTATAGTACTTTTCTGTAGAAAACTACTGTAGTCTACATGAAAGAGTGCACCTTTTGCCCACCCCCTACTCAGCAAGATGTTGGAAGGCAGGCAGCTAGTTAGGAAGTTAATATCTAGGAGAAACTTGGTATTGTCATGAACAACAAAAATCAGCTTATACCACTGAGGCCAGTGATGCACAATTGACACTTCACAAAATGAAGTATGAAGTATAGCATTGTTAAAGCATTATGAAGACAAATAGCCTTAAGCTAGGAGGAGTGTACTAATTAAACAGTGTAATGGAAGTGTAAATTAGGGGAGGAGAAGTCTGATCCATGAGGAACAGAGGGGAAGAACAGAAACAGAAGTCTTAATAGCTGTACTTTGTAAAGGCAGAGAGAAAGGCAAGGCTTTTTTTTAATTTAAAAAAAATTGTAAAGTAATAATAAATTTTAAAACTTAAATAAAAAAAAAATAACCTGACCACTAGTCTTAGAAAGACCAGGCATACTTTGAGCCAAAAATGCCCTGCTTCAGCTGAAGCACACTAAATACTAGAGCAGTGGAAGGTTGTCAAGTATGGTAGAGAAATTCAATGCTGCCTCCACAGCAGCAGGCAGGGAGGGGTGCAACATTAACTCCTGGATACCCTCACCATTTAACAGCTGCCAGCCTTTATTAGAGATCCTACTATATTTAAATAATGGCTTTGACTTGCCTACAGAGTAGATTTAACAATGTTACTGTAGCTTTTGCCAAGTTGCTGCTCTTTCAGCATATCAACACCAGAAATAGGGAAAAAGGAATTCTGAGCCATACAGCTATTACCAAACTGGAACAAGACAACATTGTGCAGTAATTATCTACGACTTCTTTACAGTGAGAGAAATAATTCCTCTGGAAGCACAGTCCAATGTTGTTTCATGTTAGAATTCTCTATGAATTGCTGCTGGGTGGTTTGGAAGATGATCTCACACTTTTACACAACTGTCTGCCAGCTGGTAGCAAGTTTCAGAAGCTACACGAGCCGTTTTCTAACTGCATGTTTTGCTGCGGTTTCTAAGGAAAGCAGTCACATTTTGACTTCATAGATGGGAGGGGTGCTTTGTTTTTAAAAGCATTTGAGGACAAGTTCTTTTCCTAGTTAAGAAATCCTGCTTTTACAACCATCTTCCTTCCCTATTGCCCATTCAGGTACCAAAGTCTCACAGAACACCTGGTTATAAATTCAGCACAGGTTTCACGACTATCTCAGTTTTCTTTCTGATGAAGTTTCATGTTTAGTGACATTTTCTTCTTGTATGTCAATCACTTCGTTCTGTCAGTTTGTTTCACAAAGCAGCCATAAAATATTTTAAGAAACAATCTTCCTTGCAATCGGGAAAACATCAAAGAATTTTGGGAATATGATTTCAAGTTGATACAGACACTTTAAAAGAATGAATAGTCTTTCTAGCATCATTACACCAACCTAATCTACTACACTCTGTGAAGCATAATTAAATGTTATGCAGCTGACTAGAAAACTGCTACATCTCCCAGTGATTTCAAGTCTTTAGGTTAAATCAAAGCCAAAGTGTTCATTTAAGAACAGTTTTAAGTTTTTCTCCTACTTGATCAATAATTAATATTGGTATCCCCTTCATTTAAAAAGAAAATGTCAAGTATTTGCACTCCTTTGCTACAAGATCTGGCAACTTATTGCAGATGTTCAACTTGCGATAGGACTTCTCAGCTTGGAATAGAAAAAACAAGTAATGAAAACTGACTCCAGTATTCCTAAAGCAATCATAGATAACCCATTATGCCTTCCTGCACTGTTTTACAATTAATTTCAAACTTTAGCTGTTGAGCAAGATCTATAGCACTACTATAAATTCTAGACCAACAGAATATCCTCAAGTGATAGAAGTGTAAGCTTGTTGGCCAGTACAAAATCCCACCACTAACTGCTCCTATACTAACCAGTCTTGGTCAAAACTGTGTTTGTTTTATTCACTTGCAATTCTCTGGGCTATCATATGCCTGGAACCAGAGTAGTTCTAGCTGCACAAAGGGTTGAACACATGCGCAAAAGAAAAACGGTACATCTTGCCTGGCATTTACAATTTGTCTATGCACATCTTGGGTAAGACTTAATTTATACAGTCTGCATCATACTATTCATAGTCTTGTATTAAAGCTGGATTTGCTTCAGATGTTGTATTCACATTTTGTGCAGTGAAAAGCAGTGTTACTGTGGGATTGCATTTTATTAAGAACCCCATAAAAAGAATTTCAAAGCACAGTAGTCCACTACTCCTATTACACAACTCTCATCAAGAATCACATGCTGTAAAATCCCGTAGACAAAGACTCAACAGTGTTAAAACCCATCTCTTACATGCACGGCTCAAGCCTTCAGAGCAGGAATGCAAGTCATCTCTAATTCTTATTTCCCTGGCAACTGTACTCTGAAGATGATGGGTTATGATTCACAGTGCTGTAAAAGCTTCTGAAGCCTGCTCTTTTTGTCTTGCAGTAAGGTTCTCTCGCATATGTGCAAGGTAAGTACTTCAGTATCCTGAAGGCATGCTCTACCAGCTGTCTCGACTGGATTCATCCCACAGTTCTAGTGTCCCACTAAAAGAATGCAGTCACCAAGAAACTAAATAAGCTGACTCTCCAAGAAAGCAAGGGAAATGCCAGTACCAGTTTTACCCCATGTTGCTCTTTTGAAAGGATCTGCTGCTCTTTCCTAAGAAAGGGGAGTTAAGAGTGATTCCACTATAATGAACTTGCCCATTCTTTATTATCTTTATGATTAAGCTGCAAATAACTATCCAGGCTTTGACTGAGTCTGCAGGAGAACCAGGGTAGGAATAGGGGTATAGCACCTAGTTCCCTCTCTGTGGGACAGCATGTGAAAAGCCACTGGAAGCCTCACAAACACTGGCCAGCCTTACAGCTCTTGCACATTCCTAACAAGAACAACGCTTCATGCAAGAGTTTAATGGTTCATCTGTCTACTTCAAACTGATGAGGACAGGTGCCATACAGAGGCACTGCTATTACAGCTGTGTGCAAGTTTGAGAAGCATCCTGATTTTCTTGAAGCCTCTACTCACCCTCCCCGTTAAGGGAAGCCCTGAAGTAGCACTGTGCTACCCTGAACATAGTTCAGGACAAGAGATCTTGGAGCACAACTTGTCAGTACCCTCTTAATCCCTAAGGCAAAATGACCAGCTTGCCCTTTCAGGTGCTATGGGGGCAGAGGTAGTCAAGAGAATGCCTACCTGCAAAGACAGGGTGATTACCAGTTGGATTACAATGCTTACAAATACCACAACTGTGGCTGTCCCTGCTGTGTAGGCACTGTATGAAAGCAGCACAACTGAATCAGGAAGAGGAGATGCTGTGATGAAAAGATGACAGTTTGATTTTAAGCCCCCGTAATTCCCACTCACTTTGAGTGGCTTCTGATGCACTCCTCACAGAAGAATCTTATGATAGGACAAAAAGCCTGAGGCATATTTGCCCAAAGTGCTGAGTGATCACTGCATACAAGTCCCTCTGTGGAAGCCATTAACCTGCAGAATCTGAAAACATCTGGTTCAAGGATACAGCTATTTCAGTCAGATAACACTGTCTTGTATTGTCTACCCGAATTGTTATACAAGTTCCTCAAATCTTCAAGTATCTGTCCTAAAGCTTAAGTTGTATCTACATTTCTGTGAGTAAATAGCTATGATATAGCACTCATTACCAAGACAACACTGATCTTCTGCTGTTTAAACTATTGATACAGCATGCTTGAAAGCAAACCTGTTGAATAAATTCAGAAGGTACTATATGGCCAGTTAGAGGAGAATTCTCTAACATCCCAACACTATTATTATTCAACTAAGACATCTATGTCTTCTAGTCCGAAACTTGTTCATGGTCATCCTTCTCTAGCCTCCCCTCCATTTCACAACCCCATGCAATAAGCCAAACACAAGCTGTCATCTCAAGGATTTTAATAGCACTGGCCAATTGAGAATAATAAAAACAAGTAGAAATAAAGTAATAGTAAAGGCAAAAATATCAAGATAACATAGGAAGTATTCATTCCTGCTAATTAAATGAGGTAGCAAGCTGACTAACTCATGGGGCTGAATTTTTATTTTTAATAATTTCTTAACAGCAGAGAATAATTTTTGCAGATTCATTAAGAAAGCTGCTTTCAGATGAAGTATGTAAGCAGAAAGGAAGGAAAAGATAACTATCAGGTAGCTTTGAGGCCAATATTTGCTTTCTACTTGGACTGACACCAAATTAAGGTAATTCTGCTTAAATTCAATGTTCAAACAAGCAGAATGCCCCTCTGCTGAAGTTGGGTTGTATTGCTGTAACTTAAGAAAAACTTGCCCCAGGAATCTGATTAGATCAACAATTTATGTGGCTGCACATGGAATGTAGGCAAGACAACCAAAGAATCAAAAGTGAAGATCTGCCAGTGGATCTGTTTATAGCTGCTAGTCCACTGTCATTAATTACATGATAGATGCCTGCAGGACTATCTGGCCTCACAACACATGCAGTTTAGACTGCAACAGTGCCAACTGATCCCAACCAGAATCGCGGTATTATTGTTGCAGTCAGCTCTATTTTAGGGATCAATACAAATCCCACCAAATTCACTTAGAACTTATCTTTTGACTTCAATGCCAGTTAGAGCAAGCATGTAACTGGGCAAAGAATTACCCCAAAAGAAAATGAAAAATTGGCAAGACCAAAGTTCCTGATCACTGTCCATAACTGGACTAAGATACTCTATTTCTTTTGCTTTCATATAACTTGAAACATTTAAAGTGCAGTTTAGGAACATTTCTGGAGCAGAAATCTGCAGTTTGAAGGTAACTTTTCCACTTAAAAGATGATTCATTATTAAAAACAGGTTTGTACCATCTTCAGTAACCAAAAAAATTGCTATAAAAATAGAGATTTGAAAATAGACTGAATTCACATGTACCAGGTACCATTTCTAGTGTAAAATTGGTTTAGTTTATGAAAAATATCTTTCCTTAAAAAAGCATAGGCATACAGTTATTATCACTAAGAAGGTCCACAGAATTCCTTCAGTACCTATTAAACATTATACTCTAGGCTTTTTGACAGGTGGGTCCTGCAGGCTGAACTTAGGAATCTCACATGAAGAGGCAAAAGGAATTCTTTTGGCTGACACCTTCTTCCCAATTGTCTCGATCTGAAAGAGAAAACACATTTAACAAGTGAGTGCAGCAAGCTATACAAACTAAATCCAGGACCATGACTATGTTTCACGAACACTATAATAATATAAGCCACAAAGCACAGTGTGCCCAGGGACAGTTTCTGGGATTGGAGTTGCAAAGAGTTGTGGTGTAGGGTTTTTTTTGTTTGGTTGTTGTTGTTTAAAAAAAAACAACAAACAACAAACAGCCTTTCACAGGTCCCTGCTTTGCCTATTTACAGCTGCCATCTCATGTGCCTCAGCTTCCCTAGGACTATGTACAACAAGTGTCATAAAATGTTCTGGGTATTCACAAAATGGGGGTTCGGCCTCGTTTGTCTAAAAATTTGTACCAAATAAACTAGGATAGAAACAGCTTTTTCCCCTCCTTGATGGAGTGGGTTGGTTTTGAAACACTACAACTCTGAATTGCTAAAGGCAGCCAACTAAGTAAGAGAAAGCATGTAACAAACCAAACACATATAAGCCAGGTACTGCAAAATTCAAAGAGTGAGACAGATTCCTCCTATTTCTAGGTCAGACTAATGTAAATCACTAAGGACAGAACTTGTAGAGCACAAAACACTAACTATCAAAACAGTTCAGACACCCAGTAAATAAGGAGAGCTGTAGCTTTCCTCCTAAGCAGTGCAGGTCCGATGCAAAGCACCAAAATACTTCCAACTATTTTAAATGTAACATGAATTTTATTAATATATTCTAGACAGACATCAGAGTTAACTATGAAAGTTGTTTCAACAGTCATGTGAGCTGTATGTACCATATTTGCCCATAACAGCTTCAATTGTCTGGTTAAATCAATTTATACAAGCCTGTTCACAAACAGTGTAAACTATGTGTAGTTTAAGCAGGGGAAAAATATCAAGAGAGAAAGCCTATAGCCATTATGCAAGTAATCAGAATATCCAGGAGTACGCAGAATGAAACACAACCAAAACATCCATCTGGTCTGGCTTGTAGGTTTTGTTCTGGTTGTGTCCGAGATGCTTCTATCAGATTATTTGGGGATTTGGTGATTTTAGTATTAGTCAAATTCTGTCTATGCTAGAAGTGCTTCAAGCCTTTCAAATCAAGGCTTACCCTGCTTTCCCCACTTGAGACTCGAGCAGATTTTGTCTCAAATCAGAAATTACTTTACTTAGAATTACAGAGCTTCACATTTGTATTTCCTGAATTAAGCTTCCACTGTGGAAACAGGCTATAAACACACCCATCATTTCAAGTGAAGTTTTTTAAACTCCAATTTGAGGAAAAAAATTAAATTAAAACAGCTCAAATTCATAGATTGGATTGTATATGATGGAAATGCTATTGGCATCAGGCTGTCTATGCAATAGCTTTTAACAAGAGCAGTTAAAAAGACTGGGACCTAAAAAGTGAAATATTGGGGTTGTCCATTTAAGATAAAATCCTTTTTATTATTTTATGCAGAGAATATAGGTCAGTTGTTGAATGCCTTTGTAATTATATTCTAGATGAAAAATCTGGATTATAAACCTGGATGGCAAACTCACAAATTGGTTAAAAATTCAATTAGAATTTCTTAGAAAAGTCACCCAAGAGCTATGAAACAAAGGTACAGTCTCTGATTTTGAAAGTCTTTAAAGCCACTGACTTCAGAAGAGAAGCTCCTAGGAGAAATATCACACTGGTTATAATTTGATATATCATTTGCTGTAAGCTTAGCAAAGCATTTTGCTAAGAAGTTAAGCGTTTGCTTCTGGGCCCTCTCTTTGGTGTAAACAAACACCACTGTTTTCTGGTTGACATTAATCCATCACAAAGGACTAATCAATCATCTCTTCCAGTCTCCCATGTAACACTTGAGCATTTCACTGGCTAATCTTCAGATAAACGCATTGTATGCAAAGATGTATCTCCAATGTCAGCCAGCCTTGTTGTACAGACCTCGTGGAGAAGAGTCCCAAACTTCTCTTAATAGTCTGTCCAAGTGGAGGACCTCACTGGCCGATAAATATTTTTTACCGGCATTACACTTCATCTGGCTTTAAGTCTCATGCCTTAGGTAAACCTGCTTATGTCTTTTGTAAAGAGCAAAAAGTGTGTTTACAGCTTACACTTACTTCTGAAGGAAGCATGTTTTGCTATCCTGTTACTGTCAGTTTTAAATGCTGCTTTTTTTGTTTGGTGGTATTAAAACAAGTTGCCAGGTAGGGGCTGTGGCACAGGTTATAACATACACCAAATGCTAAGCTCAGCCCTTCCGCTGGGTGGTAGCAGCAAAGACTGCAGGACTTGAGGAAACAGTGAAGGGAGTAGTTTTGCAGTCAAATACCCTGATGATTACCCAGAATGAATTTAGGAGAGATGTAAAAAACTGCTAAATCTCAGTCTCATAACTCTGCATGACTTCCCTGGTCCAAAGAAGGGCAGACCAGCATTCAGATGTTAGGTTTACAGTTGGACTTGATGACCTTCAAGGTCTTTTCCAGCCTAAATGGTTCTATGATTCTAATGCATGCTTTATACTGCTGAATGTTGATGGCATAGTCTGATGTAGCTTAGATTTTAACAGAACATCAGTCTATGAAAATAGTAAGGTAATGGAGGAAGACAGCACTAGTGAAGAGACTTAAGTATAGGCAGGTTTAGTTTTAAATCCTCACCTGAAAAGTTTTTTTTTTTTTTTGCTTGCTATTTAGTCATTGCAGAGGGAGAACGCAAGAGGGAAGAGAGCAGAAGGAAAGAAACATAAGCAGCAGCAGCATCCAGCTGATTACCTGGAAGCCAATAACTTGTAGCTCATTGTGAAGATCATCTAGAACTCTCCTACCATCAAAGATAAATGCAGGCTTCAGCATCTTCTTATGAATACGTTCATAATCCAACTCCTGTAAAGGGCAATTAAAGCAGACAGAATAAAGTAGCAGCATAACACTCCCCTTTTCTTTAGTTTAAACTGAAGATAACATTTACCTTAAACATGTCCCATTCAGTGCAAATTACAAGAGCATGAGCTCCATCACAGGCTTCATAGGGATCTTTACTGATAGTGACCAACCGAGACACTATAACAGAAGGAAAGTAAAGTTTTATACTTCACACATCTGGTGCACTCCTGGCAAATGAGTATCCTTCCTTGCTCTATACAAACAAGGAGTTTCAAGTCACTTGCCTAGAGATGTTTTCTATCAAGATATTTGTCACTTCAATTTCACTTTTTAAATGAAAGCAGTTTGTACCTGGCATCTGAATAGAGTCCAAGCACTTAAATGTTTGAAGTTAACCATTCAAATTTGATTTGAAGTCAAGAGTATCTCTAGAATTATAAGTTACTATGGAGTATTCAAATGCCAGCTCTCACAAAGGTCATTGCCTGTACAATAGCAGCACATCACAGTTCCTATTTAACACTTGGTTCACACTAGAGAAGATACACATGAGTCACTAAGGGCAGCCTTCCTCCTTCAACTGCCTCAGCAGCTGCCTAAAGGCAACCTTCCCACTCCCCTCTACTTCAAGGGCAAATCAGATAATGTACAGTCTTTGCTCTTCTTCGTCAAAGCTCATTTTCCTCCATTCTCTTCACCTCTAGAAGCCTGATCTATCCTTCTCCCACTTCCACCCATCATCTCCATTCTCCCCCTCCGCATTAAAAAAAGAAAACAAAAATCCCAAATACCCTCTGCTTCTCTTAAAGAAATTTCTAGTTGTAGATTATTACTTCGACGTTTTCTTGAATTTAAAGGAACAAATTAATATGCAATTGATATAGAGGAAATAGAGAATGCTCTACAGTGAATTTCAGAACTATTTATTTATTTCTACTTTAGATATGTAAGCAAAAACTAAGGCAAGATAGGACTCATAACACAAAGGAGCTGACAAAAACACTAGTCTCTCCTACTTCTGGACATTCTTCTATTCTTCTTTCTCTTCCTTTTAATTATGCAGAGAGAAAATTTATTGCATGTATTCAAATTAATATTGATCAAAAGAAAAATAGTAAAAATTAGCATTTATCTATAAAAGCTAAGGGGGGAGGGGGAAGAGTTCCAGTAATCCTCTGAGCTATGACAGTCTTCTAGTAAGTGTAACCAACAGCACACACCATTGCCATGGTGAAAATGTGAAAATGAATTTATAGTAGTTAAACAGATCTTGTGTATTGTGAGAATAGGGTGGGGAGGGAAGGAGGAATAAAGTTTTACATGGGCATTCTTACCTTGGTTGTCTTCTGAGACACCTGGATGTGAGAGATCCAAGATGATTTGTTCCTTAGGTACTTTAGGATCATAGATATGGAGCTTTGCTCCTTCATCCATTAAATACTTGCTAATGTAGATACTGGATGATTCTCTAGGGAAGTGAATGAATCAGTTAAAGAACCAGGTGGCATGCTGTAAGTACCAGAAGTCTTGAAGTGTCATGACAGGCAATGCCAGATCTTTTACACCAGTTTTACACTAAACATCTTCATGGTAATCCATGCCAGCAGCAAACTTGAAATCTTAAGGGACACCACTGAGAGCAATATGAAAACCAAGTTTACATCTCTTTTGCTGAATCATGCAAGGGAGATACCAAGCCCCGGGACTCCTATTTACCATAATTAACAAGGTATCAAGCTTATCAGTTTTCCCCACAAACTGTAGTCAGAGAGTTGTATCAAGTTTAAGCTTTAGAGAAAAACAGAATTAACCACATTTAGGAAACAAAGCTGAAACTTTGGCTTCATATAGCAATTTAAACCAGCTGTAAAAAAAACAACGTTTACATTCTTTTCTGTGGAGAATGGAGGGATTCCATCAAAAATCTACCTTTGCTTATGCAAGTTAATAAGGACCAGAGCTATCTGCTCCAGCTTCTGAATGATTCAGGTATGTTGTAGAGGCCAAGAATCAATTGTCTCATCCATTTAAGAAAGACTAATCCTTGTTACAATGCAAGTCAGTCACAAGAGGTTAAGGGTCCCATATCTGATCTATTTTTATTAATGCAATTCAGCTAGCGGGGTTTAGCTGCGCAGCTGGTCACAGCTGTAGGGAATCCACATTAGTAAACTGAATTTGCTTTCTTACCTTGTGTCCCCAGTATCCTTTTTGAATGCAAACCCTAAAATAGCAATCTTCTTATCAGTGACAGTATTGAACAAGCTGTCAATAATGCGGGAAGCAAATCTTCTTCTCTGATAATCATTCATGTCTATTACCTGAAATTATATAAAACATGACGGTACAGGAGGGACCCATTTTAAACTGTAAACAGATTCTATTAACAGTCAAGCGAAGCTACCCACATGTAAGTTTAATAGAGGCTTAAAGAGAAAGCTAAATATTTTTACTCAGTATAAGTAATCCAAATATAAATGTAGGTAATTTACCAAATTCTGAGACAAATCCTATTTTAATCAGTGACTGATATACACACATACCATCATGCATTATCTAGTTCAAAGGCTAGGACTTTTTCAGATTGCCTTAGGCAGAAACATGGAAAGCAATTTCAGTGTTAGAGTACTTGATGTCACATAGACATTCCATTGCCAGACCTACACTTCCTTACACACCATGTACAACAACTGTAAGAACATTTTTAGCCTTTTTAATCCACACTAACAGATTTCAATACACAAAAGTAACATGGTTAAATCAGATCTAAGTGCCTCAGTTTTGTTATTACATGAAAGTGGGTTCACTTCACTCAGATTGTTCCTGTACTTTCCACCAGCCTGCTTCATACTTTTATCTCTAGCCCTTAACACACAGAGGGCACTGGTTCTCCCACCTAGTCAGAGTTCAACATGCACTGGAAAGAACTACATTTCCCTCTTGGTTTTGAGACTTTCAACCCAAATCAAGAATTAACAAAAGCAGTCTATGAAACATAAGGTATAAACTATACAGTAGAAGGATATTGGTGAACAAACTTTACTTGAGGAAAAAAAAATAAGAGCAGTGAGATTTATGCATTCAACAAGGTGGTGATGGGGAACAAAGGTAACAGATGACAGGATAAGATGGACATATTTCTTTCTGGAGGTAGGTTTTAAAATAATGAAGATTTCAAAACTAGAGTGCCCTGTGCTGTCTGAAGGCCAGGGAGAATAAAAGTTAGGATTCTGGGGCTGCTCTGGTCAGCATATCCTCCAGAATTTGCATCCTGTCCTTAGACTGGTCTGAGGTCTCCCATGGGCATGCATTTTGATGAGCTGCTGACAGTGCCGTGCTCAGGCCACAAAGAAGGTCTTCACCCAGTTGCTTATCCAGGTGCACATGTGTGTTACATGGCTTTACCAGTGTGGGGTGGGGCAGACAGACCTCTGCAAGATGACAGGGCTCTGAGGAAACAGAAGGTGCAGGCAAGGGGTGGCACTACATGAGCATAACACTTTACCTTATCCTAACTCTGGAGTAACTATTCTTATTAAGGCGTGGACAAATCAGGTAGTAAGTCACATGTAAACACTGCAAAGAATTGCTCTTAAAACAGAGTAAGAGAGCATAAAAGCATTAAAAGGACTTTTGTATTGGGTTTGTGTGGCAAGGTTTTGGTAGCAGGAGGGCTGCAGGGGTGGCTTCTGTGAGAAGCTGCTAGAAGCTTCCCCTGTGTCTGACAGAGCCAGTGCCAGCCGACTCCAAGATGGCCGAGCCCATCAGTGATGGTGGTAGCACCACTGGGATAACATAGTTAGGAAGAGGAAAAAACACAAACCACCTGTGCAATTACAGCTTGAGAGAGGAGTGACAATATGAGAGAAAACTCTGCAGACACCAAGGTCAGTGAAAGAGGAAGGGGAAGAGGTGCTCCAGGCACCAGAGCAGAGATTCTCCTGCAGCCTGTGGTGAAGACCATGGTGAGGCAGGCTGTCCCCCTGCAGCCCATGGAGCTCCATGGTGGAGCAGATCTCCATCTGCAGCCTGTGGAGGACCCCACGCTGGAGCAGGTGGAAGCCTGAAAGAGGCGGTGACCACATGGCAAGCCCATGCTGGAGCAGGCTCCTGGCAGGACATGTGGCCCCATGAGGAACAGGTTTGCTGGCAGGACTAGTGACCCCATGGGGGACCCACGCTGGAGCAGTCTGTTCCTGAAGGACGGCACCCTGTGGAAGGGACCCAGGCTGGAGCAGTTTGTGAAGAACTACAGCCCGTGGGAAGGAACGTTGGAGAACTTAGTGGAGGATGGTGTCCTGTGGGAAGGACCCCACACTGGAGCAGGGGAAGAAAGCGAGGAGTCCTCCCCCTGAGGAAGGAGGAGCAGCAAAGACAATGTGTGATGAACTGACCACAAGCCCCTTTCCCTGTCCCCCTGTGCTGCTTGAGTGGCGAGGAGGTAGAGAAAAAGTCAGGAGTGAAATTGAACCTGGGAAGAAGGGAGGGGCGGCGGGAAGGTGTTTTAAGATTTGCATTGTCTCTCATTATGCTGCTCTGATTTGATTTATAATAAACTAAATTAATTTGATCAAGTTGAGTCTGTTTTGCCTGTGACAGTAACTGCTGACTGATCTCTTCCTGTCCTTATCTTGACCTATGAGCCTTTTGTTGTATTTTCTCTCCCCTGCCCAGCTGAGGAGAGGAGTGACAGAGCAGCTTTGGTGGGCACCTGGCATCCAGCCACGGTCAACCCACCACAACTTTAAACTAGTTTACATTAACAATGCAACTTTTTAGGCTTTTGTTAAATAAAAAACACACCTCCACACAGAGCAAACTAAGTGTTCTTATGCCTTTGGGTTGCCAAGATACCAAGTAGATTGCATCTTGAGAAGGACCCTTGTGATCTCAAAGGACAGAGCCAAACCAATTTGTCCCTGTCAAGACAGTATTATTTTTTTCTTATTCATCAGATTGTCAGTGGGGTAACATGGTTAGTTCCTGCAGCTCCAGAGATTGTTGTCTGCCTACATCTTATACTGAGTAAAAGCAGCAGTTCTTGAAGCATGTTTCAGAACACAGGGCTCCTTCTCTTTCGTACTGTGCCAATGCATCCAAGTCCTACACTGAACCAAACTTCTCCTGGATGCTTGTGCAAGGTTCATGTAGTACATTAGTGTCTCTTCACCGATGGGACTGCAAGCCTCTCCACTATGGACTAGACTATCCTAATGAAGTATATTAAGGAAATTGTCAATCTGAACCCCTTCAGAGGCAGACAGCATAAACCCCATGTCTTCCTTGTCCCAAACAACTCATGTAAGAGAGTTGCAAGCAAGTAACTAGGCTGCTGACTAGCCCCTGGCTGGAGGTTAAACTCTGAACAGGATGCAGAAAGCCACTGGACATCACAGATAATATAAGAAGCTGACAAAAGTCACAGATAGCATTGTGAGAGATCGCTGAGTTCTACAAGCAGTTATGGGGGAATTATGAGCGAGATCCAGTCAAGCTTCAGACAATTAGAAAGGAGATTTAGGGACCTTTTGGGGAATAGAACCTTGCAAAGCCAACAGAGCCTAAGTAACTCCCGTCAACAGTACCACATGGCCATGATGACCTGGGTAATAGTATGAGAAATACTGGACATCAGGATGGATGTGGCACAATTGACCAATGATGAAAAGTAATTATGGGCATGTTGTTCATTTGGCAGGCAGACTGGGATAGAGGAAAGCGAGGAGAAAAAAGGCTAGCAAAAGGAAGATTGAAAAAAAACCATGAAAGCTGCTAATAAGGTAGGTAAATCATGTGCATGGTATTCTGGGGGCATCTGCTAGGCAGCCTTGTATTTGATCGCCACAGCCTAAATCAGGACAATAAGCTAAAGCTGTTCTTTTGACCATACCACATATGTCAAAGCTGCTTCCTCAGTCAGGACTGGGAAGAGGGGTGAAGTGCTTTCACCGGTTTATAGGGAAACACTTTCTAGTACAGACTGAGCATTCTGGTATTGCTGCATTGATGCTAGGGCTGAGAGCATCCACATCTTCCCAACCATTCCTAATATTAACCAGGGAACAGCAGCAACCATACTTATTTAAAAGAATAGCAAGTTCTGCTAAGTTCTTTCAGAAAAGGAACTGTAAAAGTAGACCCTGAAGAAAAGATCATAAGCTCTGATATAGTGGACAGAGATAACCAAGAGCAAGAGGAAGACAGAAGTCCAGACATGCTTGTACTTCACATTTTCTACTGCTACTTCTAGACAACTTCCCAATCCATTTGATCCATACAACTTAATTCACCCCAAAAAAGCCTAAGCACCCACAAGTATCAAATGGCAGTGTCAGGCTGAGGGCCCTAAAATGTAAAGATGATCAACATTAAGGTATCTGTTCCTTAAAGCTGAAACACAGGTTATATGTGGGCAATGCTCAAAAGCTCTGTGCCTGAAAGCTGAATGCTGAAGAAAAACCAACCCCTCAAAAAAATTTGTACCTGTTGCCAGTAGCGGGCTACTTCAGGTAAGTTCAGTGCCTCACAGAGGTACACTAAATTCAGGACATCCTTCTGAAAACAGCTACCTCCAAACCCTGAAAGAGAAAATGGTTATTGTACAGGTGACTAAGGTACTATTCTAGCCAATCTTTGGAATCAAGTAGTTTTTTTGCAATCATTAACACAGTCAGCGTAATTTTTCCCAGTATTTCACTGCTAGCAAATGAAAACCTTAAGAATTTCTCAAAATACAACTCCTGGACCTACTTAACTGTCAGTTACAGAAGCCTTAAAATTGCTTCAAGTCCCACTGGAGTCAATGGAAGTTTTAACCCAGTCTCAGGGAAACATAGGATAAGATAGCCCCTAGGTTTTTTTATCATCACAAGTGGTTGGACAAGCACCTGGGTTTGCTCTTCCCCCTTACCTAGAGATTTAGATTAATATTTCTCAGAACAAGTATTCTAAGATTAGGTTCTTTCCTCCCCCACCCCAAATGGGTCTCTCAGCATTGCCAAGAACCAAAGATCACCACAGACGACTGAGAACTGAAGCAATTAATAGAGGGATCCTTGACCCTTAGAACTTTGCTCAGCAGCATCCCAGAAGCAACATATTGTAGAAGGAATTGTAATAACCTAATAGGAATTTTGGTAATGAATTTGCTACCTACTTTTCACTCTAGGAGATGTTATATTTAATAAGGTTATTTTAAAGTCACACTTTCTCTTTCCAGCATGAAAACTGTAGCCATACAGATAGACTTTAGTCTTGTTCCATAAGTTTGAAAGTTTATTGTGCTGACCACCACTTCATCACATCTTACTCTCTAGTAAACCTAAACAGCTGAATTCGTCCTACAAATTAGAAGTTGCCATCACACATTCTGACCTAGAGGCATCCCCTTCCTCAGGCCACTGGCAGCAACTCACAAACAAAATTGCAGCAGTTACAATTGGGAAGACATCTATCTCAGAGAACACTATCATCAGTGATGCTTCATAAAAGTAAAGTTGCAGCTTTTCCTTCCAGTGTCCATGCAGGATAAACCTTGCACTCTGAACTCTCAGGTTTCAGATTTCCAGGGTCTAGAGCAACCTCAGTCCTAGACATTTTACCAGAAAAACTGATTTATGCTAGTACTCTACAGTAATTTTTTTTTTTTTAACACACTCATGCTGTAGAAGATTTTAGACTATCAGATCACTTACTAGTAGACCTATTGCACTATTAATCAGAAGCCCAGAAGAAAAAAAAAAAGGCGGGAAATTTTCATTTACCAACACTGGCTTTGAGAAACTTATTTCCAATTCTTTGGTCTGTTCCAATAGCTCTTGCTACTTCTTCAACATCTGCTCCTGTAGCTTCACACAGAGCGCTGATTGAGTTAATGCTGCTGATTCTTTGGGCAAGGAATGCATTAGCTGCCTGTAAATAAAAACCATAGTAAAGAGAACTTGATTTTTCCAGAAACTGAGATGCCCACAGACCAAAGGGAGTTACTACTGGAAGGATTACTTTAGTATCTATGTAACACTGTTGAGATACAAAATGGTAACATAACCAGTTAATACATAAATGCCAGTTAATGGGATCTAAGCAAAATAATGTAATAAGTAACTTGCAGAGTTTGAACCATTTTATGATGGTAACCAGCTTCTGCAGCACTGGAAGTTTACTCTTAGTAATAAATAACACAGCAATAACAGTGAGAAAAAGACTTCATGGAAAGTTCATATCATCTATTAGATCTCAGCTGAGATAACTGGAAAAGATTAATATCCTTTGACATACATATTGGGCCCTCCCAATCTCATCTGCCCTTCCTAGCTGCATCACCCGGTGTCAGTGAACTTCTGCTTCTGAACTTTGTCTCACTTACACACTTTGCTCATTGCAGACAACAATGGTCAGTAACACTAACCAGTTTAGAAAGTTCTGATGACCAGGTATTGGTGGTGAGGATTTTTTCTTTGGGCACCCAGTGCTCATAAACAGCACAAAGAGCACGGACAGCTTTCTGTCCCTCTGGAGAATCATCTCCACCAATAAGCACTCTGTCTGGGTTCTTCAGGTCCTTGATGGCTGTTCCTTCTGCAAGGAACTCTGGGTTAGACAGCACCTACAGGCACAGAAATAAAGGACAGATAAAAGCCAAAAGCAACAACCGGCCTTTAAATAGACAACTCAAAGATTACACTTACCTGCAAATCCAAGTTCGGCTTAGTATTAGCATCAAATATTCGACGAATGCTCTCTGCAGCACGTACTGGAACTGTGCTTTTCTCAGTGACAATTTTATAGCCATTTGAATTTTGTACAATTCGTCTAGCACAAGCTTCAATGTATTTCAGATCAGCTGCTCGGCCTTTTCCCATCCCATAGGTCTTTGTTGGTGTGTTAACCTAGTTACAAATACATGGAGGGAGAAGAAATGTTATAGATCTCTTAATACAAGAGGTACTAACAAGGTGAAACTGTTACAAATGACAGACATTTTCCTTCCCAGAGTCCAGCTTGCTTCTACCCCAGAATTATTTTAGTTACCATATCAGATGAATGGCTGTTAGCTTTCTCAATTACCCATTTTGTCTTCTAAAGAAAGCTCACTGGCCTCTATTCAAATAGAATTTAAGCAAGAACAATTCATAGCAGCTCTGCAAACTTCAGTGAAAGTTAGTCCTTATTCTGGAAACACTAGTAATTTCTTCATTATTACAGCCAGCCACCTTTTGTTTCCTGGCCCACATTAGAAGTGCAAAAATTCATGTAAAAATCTTGCAGCTAGCGAGGCAGTTACAGTTTAAACCCACTTTGCAGTGAAACCTAAGCGTAGAGCTGCTGAAAATTGCTGTGGTGAAGTACACAGAAAAGGCAACATAAGGGAAAACACATCAGTTAGATTAGACAGAGGGTCCTTTTCATTACAAACTGAAAGAAGAAAATGGCAACAACATGTAAAAGACAATAGCATGTTTCAAGCCAAGGACAGGTGGCAATATATAGGCTTGTATTAGTGGCAGTCATCCAGCCAAACAGCATTCATTTTAGCCTTAATGAATGGAGAAAGGTACTATCAGAAATAGAGCTCTGTATTGAGGTGTCCTAACAAAGAGGAGTTCTCAAGAAAAGAGGACTTAAGTAACAAAAAACCCACCAAAACTTAACTGTGGCCTAGGAAGATGAATAGCAATCAGCTCTTTTGGATTTTGCATTAGGAACAACCTTCTAGACTACAAAAGGTCACACTGTTTATGTTTGACTGGATCCTCTTCCTAGTGGTGTCAATAGTGTAGAAATATTCAAGCTAGAAAACATTAAAGCCAGCTGGCCCCTCTTCTACTAATACAACTTTTAAAAAGCTTCTTGAAATAAGTCATCTTTGTAACCCAACAATCAGTATATGACTTTGCATCCCCATCTAGGAACCATATCAGTATTCTTAAAGTCTCATACATTTCAGTAGTACACTGCAATGTCAGATCTGCTTTAAGACCCCATACATCTAACCAAGCTAAACATCAACATTATAATTTGGACTTAGAGTCTGTTCATTTGTGAAACATTCTACTGGCTATAAGAAACAGATAAAATAAAATAAAAAGCTTATTTAACACTTTTCCCACAGCACACAGAAGTACAAGGAGAAAACTGTGACACAGTGACATGACATTGCTAACTGAATCTATATGACAAAACAAAGACCTCTTCCTAACATAAGAGCAACATTATGACTTGATAAGAAAAAAAAAAAGACAAATACACACAACCACCTTCTCCCCCTAAACTTACAGAAATAAATACAAGATCAGCTTCTCTAATGGCATCATCAATACTGGTGGAAAAGAAGAGGTTTCTTCCTCGACAGGATTCTACCACTTCTTTTAACCCTGGCTGAAAAAAAGCAAGAAAAAAAAACAGTTAAGGTTAATGCAGTTCAAAGAACAGAAAACTGCATACCCAAACAAACAGCCTATCATTTCAGGTACAGAAAGACTTCACACACACACACCCCCCATGTGGCATGTTTTCAGTATGCCAAATGTAAAGAACAGACGTAAAGCTTCTGTAAATTTACATAGTGAAAAAAAATAAAGCCCTTTCTTATTCAAAACACTCAAAATGCTGTCTCAAAACTTTCAGACACACTAAATTGTTATTTGCACAGCCAGATTTTAGGCTGCAGTTGTTCTTACACTCAGTTCTACTACCATGAGCAACAATTAAAGAAATACCTGTAGAGTGATGTTAAGTAGGTTCAAGACGTGAAGTCTTACAATATTCCCTAGGCTGCAAACAAAAGAGGTGGTCCCAACTCTCCTGTTCTCTCAGCTACATGTTCCATGGTCTCCCCAACATCAGATCTAGAACTGATCCAGCACAAATCCTATCCCCGGCCAAAGAAGTCTTCCACCAAATTAGCAAGCGCTGATCCAGTGAAAGAAAGGCAGAGACACAGAGTAGATAAACGAGCACACTCCTTTTGGCAATCACTCATCTTTGGGCCAAATTAAACTTATCATGGCACCATACCTGCAGCATGGAAGAATCACAGACACAATTCCCTTCCCTTAACACCTCCACTCAGACAAGAGTAATAGGAGGCCATGTACATGAGCAATCCTCCATGTCAGAATGGTCTACAAAATTAGTTAACTAAGATATAGTTGTCAAAGAACAAAAGAAGCCTTTACTTTTTGATTGAAAAATAAGTAATACACTGTAATGTGGCAATCACATCTCCAACTTGAGAGATGCTCATCATGACATGAGATATTTAAGTAAGTGCCAGAAAGGCAAAGATTCACTGGAGGGAGAGAGAGGAAAATGAGGCAGAAGCTTTCTTACAAAAGACACTTCTGCTGTCTCACTTTGTACCAAATACCTTCTTAAAAGGAAAACAAAGGTCAGTCCAGGCAGAATAACATGCATTACAACCCACCAAATGTTCCAACTATGGTCCTACTGGAATGTAAATAGAAAGGTAGCCCACTAGACAATTTCTGACACTGGAAAGAAAAAACCCAAAACAAAAAAATTCAGAAAAACCTCACCGTGCAATGACTCAATTTTACAACTATCTGAACTAATTCTTGGCAGTTTTTGTACATTCTTTGTAAGCAAAGGACACCATTCCAGGAAACAGATGTTGCGAGTTTGTGGGTTTTGGTTTTTTTTTTAACATGCCAAGACTAGCTCTACTTTTAACTCATTCAGTCTAAGCGTTTATAGAAAACAAAAGACTTGCTTTCATGATCTTTATTCATGTCTCACCTAACTAATCTGAGCATTATACACATTTTCCTTTGAATATGTATGACAAAGGAGGTCTATTCATCTTCACTTAAAAGAGCACAGTATAGGTTTGATTTTAAGAGGGGAAAAAACCCCTACACTAGTGTTACAGCACAAACAGGATTCAGAATATAAGACATAGCAAAAGAGTAACTGTTAGTATCAGCAACATGCCTTGTCTTTGGGAGTCAAGTGAAGATAAGTTTTCACTCCCATTAAAGAAAAGAAAGAACTCAAACCTATAAAAACTGTATCTTGTGAAAGAATGAAGAAACCTATTCTTAAAGGGTGAAAAAGAATGAAAAATAACAAGTGCTAAGAGAATCAAAATAGAAAAATGCTTTATATATTTTTAAATGAAAGTCATTCTGTAATGAAGTGACAGTGAGATACATTTTAAAAATATTTTTTACCTGGCCTAGTGTTCCCAGGCCAGATTGGAGGTTTATGGTACAAGTGAATCAGGAACCTTACCGTTCCCATCTTACAACATGGTTTAGATGGGCAGCACAGATTGGATTTTGGCAGTATTCAGAATGGGAATAAAGCTTACTGCCCAATATTACACATTCATATTGTACTGCAACACAGCAGATAATAGCTATAACTAAGAGGACTATGTTATGATTAAATCAGGTCTTGAAAGAAAGTCAGCATGATTTAGCACAATTCACTATAGATAATATCACATTTTTCCTTATTAGGCCCTTCATATATAAGCTTTAAATACCTGCCTGCACCAGACATATTGAATTATTTCAAAAAACTTGTTTAGCAGTAGTGACAAGCAGCTGTTCCAGAATACTCTTTTTGAAGGATATCACCGTGCTATGAAGTGGGCCATGTGGAAATGCCATGTGGTGGGAGGGAAGCAAATGCAACACTGGCTGGAAGAAGAGACAACAGCAAGACAAGTTTACCTCATAGATTGGGAGTGTATCTGAATTCCAGGCATTGATTCTGGCCTCGTTGACATCCACAACAGTAACTTTGATACTGGGACACATCTGTGCAATAACACTACAGGTTGGCCCACCAACATAACCAGCACCAATACAGCAAATCTTCTTAATTTCAAACATGATTGCTCTACCAAGGGGGGGGGGGGAAGAAGAATCAGGAGTTATAAATTAAAATACTGGCCAACAATTCAAGGAAAGAAGAGAGAATTAACGACTTGAGATTTTATTATGCTGCCACAAAGAGAAACATTTTCTTACAGCTGATCTCTTGAAATGAACTGCAATTCCTCCCTCCCGCCCAGGAAGGCGAGCCTGCCCTCGCCAGGAGCACCAGCACACACCGACCATTGAGGAAGCACTTTCTGTGGTCGCTTTGAAGCCTGCCAGCGTAAATACCACCCCCTTAGGCCGAGGAACTGCTGATGCCACGATAAGTAAGAGGCACGAGCAGAGACCACTGCTGCAGGCAGCGCACAGCGGGCAGGACGGCCGCAGCCCCACGGCGGGCAGAGCCATGCCAGGCCGC